GACACTGATATGATCCTTTAGCAATTAAATGGATAATGAATTTGCTCATTAGCCATTTGCATCAATGCTAATTTTTTTTATATTAAAAAAGAAACCGACAGTGACAACTGTAAGCTTCACTATCGAAAAGAACAATATGTTTTTTATCATAAAACCGTTGATATACAGCCTATATGTTAATTTTTTATACAAATCCAAAAATGCATTTGGCTAGATTCCTTTGTCATTTATAGATTTTTCAATCAAGCGTACCGTTATCAATAATTAACGGAGTTCCTTTATTTAAGAAATTGGTTTCATAGTCGTTTGAAGTAAAGTTTGGTGTGTAATTACGCCTTTCAGCAATATTGTAAATCCTTGGTTGGAACGAAGTTTCCATAATTATTTCCTTGAACAAAAAATTAAAAATTGGAGAAAAGGATCACGAAACCAACTTTTGTATGTACGTACGTATGTATGTACCATTCCACACGCCGGGTAATTCTCTGATCCCCAAAATAGCATAGTTGGGTTTTTGTTGTGATTTGATTGATTGACCAATCAAATCATGAGATAAATCGCATTACTATAAAAGATCAAAAAAATTTTTTTTGATCTTCCTCTCTTTTTGTGGCCTGTTCCTTAAGGGATATTTGAGCAGCATGTCTGAGCAAGTCAGTCAGTTTTTCATACCACTTATGAGTAAATGTTTGGTTTTACAAGTAAATTAAAATTTACATTGAAATTCTATAGATCGAAAAGGCTTTTCAGAAACAAGTTGGTATCTTTCAAAATCCAAAAGCTAGCAAAAAGGTTAAAGCCAAAAACCTCCGCTGGTATAAGGATGTAGGTCTAGGTTTTAAGACACCTAAAGAAGCTATTGATGGTCATTACATAGACAAAAAATGCCCCTGGACTGGTATGGTGTCTATCCGAGGTCGTATATTAACTGGTGTAGTAGTTTCTGTCAAAATGAAAAGAACAATTATTGTTCGCCGTGAATATTTGCACTACGTCACAAAATATAATCGTTATGAAAAACGTCACAAAAATCTTGCTGCACATTTGTCCCCCGCCTTTGTTGGTGTCTCAGTAAGTGAATTCTTGAAGCATATATTCTGTACATGACATGAATTTAATGATTAATGTTTTTCGAACTCAGCCGGGCGATACTGTTACTGTGGGCCAATGCCGGTAATGATCTTATTGTTAATTTTATATTTCGCCAGTTATTATAATTATATCGATTAATTGAACCGATAAACACAACTAGTCCTCTTTCCAAGACTGTTCGCTTCAATGTTCTTAAGGTTCTGAAGAAAGTTCAAAAGGGACCAAAACAATTTACCAAGTATGTAAAAAAAAAAAAAGAAAAAGCCTAAACGTTCTTAAACGATTTTATATCGTATTATTAAATCAATTATATATATAATAGGTTCTAAACTAGACTTGCGACCCAAACCTTTTTTGAATAACGACATTGCTATGTAGTTTGGTTGGGAAATCGGGATTTCTACTTCATTTGGGATAATAACAAAACCCAAATATGTGTCCCATTTTCGGACAATAGCACAATCACAAAACTGGTCAAATTTATTAATCGATGCTATAAATTGTTTTAATTTTTCAAATTGAGAACCTAAAAGTAATTTAGCGATTAAGCAGGATTGTTAAATAAATTGATATGTCAGATTTAATAGTTATATCGGAAATGTATACAATGAAAAATTATTATAAAAGTGAAAGTTTTTCACACAAAAATAAACTTCTAACCATAAGTTATAAACCTTTCGACCAAGTTTCCTTCGAAATTCGAGAAGTCTTTGGAGAGGTAAAATTTTTAATCAATTCATATCAATAATGTAGTCTTTTATTGATAAATTAATTATCTATGACCATGATAGAAGCAAAGGGTGATGATTGAACGAGTATAAAATTGTCAATCGCACCGGGTCAATAATCATTAATACTTTATCGAATATGGAAGATATTGTAGCATTCAATTCAGTAGAAATTGGACTTTCGCTGAAACCGCTAGAAATAAGCGATAATCGAGAATTAGCCAATAAAAAGGAAGAAATAATACTTCGATGCCCTTACCGACGAAACGAATCAGCTTTTGAATATTGGCTAGCCGGCACAATATTAACCGATTACTTGTTACGTATTTACGTTAACGTTAATGCCGTATGTCGAATTAGTAACATTGATAATAATGTCGGAAAGTCACACTCGATTATGGGCGACGCTGAGGTACCCTTTTTCGATATGTAAAATATTGTGTAACAATAATGCATCTGTCATGCTGGGCTTTTCATATTTTTATATACGATAACCTCCTTTCTTCAGTCATTGGAATTTTCTGGGGGTTTTTTTTTTCTAACTTCATTCTTTTATAGCTATTTGCTCAAGCATACGTATAGGCTCTTTTGTGTTTTTGCATTTTAAAAAATTTACAAAATCAACAAAAGTATAATTTTATTCAACGATACAATGACCGAGTATGATCAATGTTAAATCTTTTTGTCCCGTTATGCATTTTAAAAGTCAGCTACTATATTTTAAACTAATACATATTTCAGTATCCAGATCTGAACCTAATTTAGGTTCAATTTTTGGATTATGAACCTAAATCAGGTCCACTTGAATCGGGAACCGGACATTTCTGAAATTCGAAGATGGTTCGAAATCTTTCATTTCGCTTCCTTCAGCTCCAGTCAATTATATAAAATTTGAGATATAAAAAATTTAAAAGTATAATTCAAAATTCATTATAAACTTATATATAAACTTCCTATCTCTAACCTAAATGCTAACTCACCATTGGTTATACAGTATATAGGATTCTTTAGTTAATTTTTAACGCTGGCCAGAATTGCCAGAATTACATAATACAGTAATATTTTCGAAACCTGATGTTTGCTTGCTACACGTGACTTAAAGACAATAACAATAACGAAAATATGGTGTCACAAGAATCAGTCATGTAGAAACTATAATAACCCACACTTTTTTTTCTGTCTTTTTTTTTTTCCTTCAAGAGTATTCATATATGTTCTGGTCTTCTTCGTGAATGCCTTCCATTTAAACCATTTGAACCATTGATATAAAGGTCAAAAAGTTAGTTAATGCCACTTTTAGCTAAACCTTTAATAGAACCTTCCATCAGTCAAGCAAAGGCATATTCTGCAAGTGACAGTACTACTCATCAGCGACAAGAAATGCAACCACCACAGCAACAATCAACTTCGTCGTTTAACATCATGTCGATATTAAATCCGGCTCCATCACCGCCGTCTCATAGGTCCCAAACTGTATTAGGAACATCACTGCAACAAGATTCACATGCACACCCGACCTTACCGCCAGCTTCGTCAATGACTCAACAAACGTACTACCAGTCAAGTCCTCACTCACAAGCCCAGTCTCCAACTTTTCAAATGTCTTATAATAATAATAATAATAACCTTCGACTTCCACCACCGTGTACAACTCCAACTTTTCCGTCATTTCCAAGCTCTTCAAATTCACCAGTAAATATTTATGGCTATACGCCTCAAAAATCAACTTTCTCACCAGTTGGTTTCAACGCTTCTAGCAATGGTACTCCTTTGTCACCAGTTAAAACTAGTCCTTCAACTCCACTGACTAATGCGCCAACTGTATTACAGTCGTCTCATGTATTAATGCCCAGTGAAATATCAATACCAGCTGTCTCGATCACTGCCTACAATAACCGAAGTCCCTCGTTAAGTCCAACCATTCAGGAGCAAGATGTTACTGCTTCGATAAATAAAAGTAACCATCACCACAACGGAAATAGTTCCGAAGTTAATCAAGTCACTGTTGCCACTACACCTATATTGAGTGATTCTTGCGGTCATTTGACAAAAGACCAACCTCCTACTCCTACCCTTACTCCCGTGGAGTTTGTTGATCAGTCTGTGCAAAAATCGGGATATGTGCATCAAAACCTTAATCAATCTCTTAACGCAGTGACAGCAGAAAATTCCTCTGGCTTAGAACAATTGGCTAGCACGGCACTCTGCGAACTTCAAAATTTACAGAGAAGAGATGTCATACACAACGAAGAAACCAGAACTGGTAGAGAATCTGATGTTTTCTCTGATGAAGGTCACATTTCGCATCCTACATCTCCATTTGAAGAGCGTACACCTGTTAAAAATATAGTGTCGCCTATTTCATATGAAAGTACAACGGGAAGCACACCCGCACCACCGCAAACCGATTCAGAATTTCCACAATATGATCATGATGAGCCCATGAAAGGATTTGGTGAAACCACCGATTCAGAGAGTGAACCATCTAAGTCTGAATTTACAAGAATTAATAAGACATCACATGTTAAAGGCAAAGATTTACAAAACAAACGTAGATATAAGATCAATCAGAAGAACCATGAAGAGGTCTCTTCTGATGATGCAGGTTCACGTCAACGTAAATCTGGAACAAGACGGCCGAAAGCCACATTGACAAAAAGAAAACTATCATTTACATCTGATCGTACTCCCAAAGACAACAAGAGACAATTTCGATCAAGAACTACGTCTAATAATAGTAGTCGTAACACTTCACCAAGTCTGGGATCTACAAATGCAAATGTCGTTGATGAGATGGTCATTGATGAACCAGAGCGGTCAGGGGAGCAGCTTTATTGTGTCTGCCGGTCATCTGACGGCCAATCATTTATGATTGAATGTGACAATTGTGATGAATGGTTTCATGGTGCCTGTGTAAAAATATCATCCGAAGAATCATTAATGGTGGATAAATTTTATTGTCCGAATTGTACAGGTAAGCGTATATAACGTATATGTATTGTCTGTATTGTCGGTGAAATTCGATTAACATGTGTGTGTATGTTTTAAGCTAAGGGATTCAAAACATCATGGAAAGCTGAAAAATGTAAATACCCACCCTGCAAAAAACCAGCTAGATTTGAAAAATTGAAATTCTGTTCAGTCAAATGCGGAATGGATTTCAATCGTATTCTTCTCGAAAAGGAAGAAAGGGCAGCTAAAATGAAATTGCTGTTAAGCAAGAAAAATAAGGACAATAAAAAAGGACCGATAAAACGAAATGTTACAAATCGCACAGGACAATTGGAAGATGTCGAAAGATTGAAAAGGATAGCGAAGAAAGAAGCTAAAATCAAAAAAGAGTTGGAAGAAATCGAGACTCTTAATAATGTTGCTGGACGGGGCATAGAGAGGGTTCAAAGTGAGAGTGATCAAGTTGATAGTGATGGATCAGCCCAAGATGCTCCATGCGAATTTGAGAAACAATCTGAGAGCGATGGACCTACACATAATGCACCAATTTGTGGATACAGTCCTCGTTTTGATTGGGCTATTGATAAAGACGATGTGAAATATGTTGAGGAAGAAATTTGTACAATTCAGAAGGCGCGTTGTAAAAAGCATCGTAATTGGCAAAGTCGTAAGAACATGCAGATAGAATTGGCGAAAGCCCATAAGGTTTGTGTACTGTTTTCCATTAACATTTTATATATACTTACGTGTCCTAACCAATTTTTTTTTTGTTTCATCATTAAATTCTAGAACAAACGCCTTTTAGAACTTGCTGGAGAAAAGAGATTGATAAAGGCACAAATGAGGAAACGAAACGATATGGAAGAAGCAATAATAAATGAAACAATTGATCATATGGCTGGATGGTGACATTATTACTTAGTTTGGGAATCTGGATTTTTACTTAATTGGGATAATAACCAAAACCCAAATATATATCCATTTTCGGCCAATAGTATCAAACTCAAAAACAGAACAAATTCAAATTAAGAACCAAGAGCGATTTACGACTAAGCAGGATTGTTAAATAAATTGATATATTAAATCTAATAGCTGTATCGGAAATGTATACACTAAGTGAAAAATAATTATAAAAATGAAAATTTTTCACATCTAAAATAAACATCGAATCATAAATAACCTTTTCGACAAAGTCTCCTTCGAAATTCGAGGAATGTTTTTAGAAAAGCAAAAACCCTTAATAAAAATGGATTTTATTATTTATGTAGACCTCTATTGTTAATTGACAATTGAGTTATTCGTAAGCATGATCCAATTCTTAGTCTCAAACCATGATTAGAAACTACGGATTCATCTGAAAGACGATTGAAACTAGAAAGAAGATTATAACATTATTAGTAAATCAACACAGAAACCTAATCGCACTGGGTCAATAATTATTAATACCTTATCGAACATAACGGTGCTACAGCATTCAAACTAGTAAGTTTGGGTCACAATTCTAGCTGGGTGTGAGTGGTAATGAATAGTTGAATAGTAATCAGTAGATAAAATCAATTCTCTGATTCTTACTGACAAAAAAAATTTAAAGATATCATCGATTTGTAAGAATATTATCCAACAATGATAGAATTTAATTTAGAATAAATCATCCTTAAACATTTGTGAAACTTATCATGTACAAAGTTATTAAAAAAAAATAATAATAATAAATTAACACAATATGGGATTAGGATACTTTATCCTTGTACTGTATTATTTTCATAATTATTATTGACTTACATATGAGTGTCGTTAAAAGAAAACCCGAAAATTTAAATATAAGTCATATTTAAATTTTCGGGTTTTCTTTTAGCGACACTCATATATCGATATTTGCCGCCCAGAATATTAAATCTCTCCCAATTCAAACATGATAAATTATCCTAAATTCCAAATATATAGAAAGACTTTCTCGTGATTGGTCAATTTTATTCAATTTTATTCAATTTATACAGTTTAGAGTACTTTTACCCCTTAACATAGTAAAATTTTTTAAAAAATGTAACCGCCGTTTATAATACTACAGAAGGCTTTCGCAAATGAAGCTTTTTAAGTATCTCGTGTATCTCTGGTTTCACCCACTTTATATATATTTTACTTAGAGACGATTTTTAAGCTATATAGGAAATTAGGATGCATGATAAATATAAGCTTCTAATTAACTCACAAAGCGTAACTGTTAGAAAAAAAGGCTTAAAAGTAATATATAGTAACTTTACAACGTTTGGTAAGTATATAACTGATAATTTTATATTTCGGGATCTTTGAAATTAATAAGTCCATATTTGAAGTATTATATTTAAGAAAACTTTATTATGTATTACAGTATTACGGGAGATTATAACTATCGTTTGACGTTTGATGATAATTTTCATTTATTATAATTTTATATGGCGATGGGATGTATATCATAATTTTTCTGTCTAAATTAAATCAAATCGTATTAAAATCGGTTTAGTCTACTTCTAATATTGAGTTGTCGTGTATTATATAAATTCAAGTTTTTTAGTTAGTACACATATACAAAATCAATATTACTATATTATGATCGTTATATCGATATCGTTTATATCAAGTAAAAATTTTTGATTGGCCAGTTGGCACATGATCTGAAAAATGACCAATATCCAATTTACGTGATCAACCAATCATGAGATTATTCGAATTATTATGTAGCTATATAGTTTTGAATAAGCCGAAATAGCTTCGATCACGTGTATAACACTCTTCGTGTTCTAATAAGTTTTTCTTGGTAATTTTTCGAATGTTGTGATTGTAAAAGTTTGTTAGCGATGATGGAAAAGATCTTTCATCATGTCTATCACGTGATATATGGAAATTATGAGATGATTATGGGCGCGAAAAAATTTTCTTGCAATCAGAATTTTAACAACTACCCTAACCGACGAGAGAGAGAGCAAGAGCAGCATGATTGTGATTTTTTGATTTACTTGGTAAAAGTGTCATCGGCTATAATTAATTGTTTTTATCCAATTAAGATACAAGCAGATAGATCTATTATTTACCTCTACGTTTAGTCAATCAAAGTTTGTATTCTTTTTATATACCCTTTCAGAGCAATATAAGCACACAAAATTTTTTTGATAATTTTGTATTAACTATTGGTGCTCTCAAGCACCTAAATCAATAGGTTTGAGTTCAATTTTTAATTAGTGAAAAATAAATTATTCGGTCAACCGAGTTCATTATCGCGATGAAAAAAAAAGATGGTCAGAGAATATCATAGAGTTGTGCTGATTGGCTAAAATTTAATATCTGCGTTTCGCAACGTGAATCTTCGACAAAATTACCGTAAAGTTTACTTCAATTAATCGTAGTACTTGTGCACGATCTCTATAGCTAGCTAATTACTCTGAGAAAGATGCTTGAAAGCACACTATTTTTTTTATACAATATTAAATATGTATGTATGTAATAGAGTTGAAAATGGGCCGGACTTGGGGTATTCTCAATCCCGAAATGATTAACTAGTGATCGTAATAGTGCACAACTATAATAATATTTATATAAAAGGTTTGATATGCAAATTATGTAATCAAACTTTTTTCAAACATTATTCTCAATGCGATTATCTAGTAAACATGACAGTAATCAATAAAAATAAAAATTACAATTGATACTTGTCGCCACTAGGTTTGTTTAGGTTTTCGTTGATATTTGATTGTTGTACGAAATGAAGAAATTATTGGCGAAATAGTAAAATTTATTGCTGGCAAAAAATGGTAAACATCCGTATTTGTTTTTTGGGCTTTCTAGTATTTTTTTTTATTGCTCATAAAAACTTAAGTGTAATGAATAAAAAAAAATAATTCGTTGATGATGACAAAGTTAATTGAATAATTTTTTTGAATACTAATTGTAAATTTTGACAAGTCAAGTAAATAAAAAAGATGGTTTGTGGCAAAAGGTTTGTAAATTGAAATGACAAACTCACTAACCGTTTTTTTACTAGTAAAAATATTCTATTCACATAATAAACTTTATCAAATTACGTTTACTATTTAAAGATTCATCGCAATTACAAACACAGTTGGTCTGTCTAAAATATTTTCCGTCTAGTAAAATTTGTTCACCGACACTTTTTGACCATTGATTAAGGCGTTTGAGGACGCCCATAATATAATTGGAAATTTACTTTGCATTCGCAATGCAGGAAAATGTAAACCTGGGTTACGTCCGACGCACGCTAAATAAAGTAGGGGCACACTAAATAATATAGGGCAACTATTAAAAATTGAAAAAAAAAACTAGTGCATAGACTTGTGCTACGTATACATGTTATAGTAATACCGATTTCACAAGTTGTCAATTCATCACCATGTTTATTTTTACAGATCAGACAAATTGTTAGCTTATTGAGTACCAACCCTATACACCTTAACGATGATCTTGATTCATTTCCCCTTTTATTATAAGTTATCTGGTTTCACATAATTTGGCATTAAACTTATTTTGGAATAAAAAGTTACAATGTTGGGCAATTTTATAGTCATAAGATTTAATTTTTTTATACAAACTTAGGTATTAGTCATATGAATTTATAGTGAAAAAAAAGGTCATACGACATATCTTTTCCAAGATTGCATAGTAATACAGTCTAGATTAACACATATTGACATTATGAACCGTTTTTTACAGCAACTATAAACATTTGTTTTGTATATTCCTCTTACTTTTATTTTATAAATATGCTATTTTAATTTTTATCTAATATTCGAAAAATGGTACTAATGACACGATGTTGCGGCTGTATTCCTATGAGAAGAGGTGTTTTTGTTATAGCAATTATTTGGATGGCATGTCGTTTTTTAATATTTTAATTAAATTCTTTACGTTTATGTGCTATCTAAGGTTTCTTTACACTTAGATTGGAGGAATATATGGCATTGTTCAAAATGTTGTCCTCATTATAAATAATTACTATTGTAAGTTTTACTTAATATTTTTTTTTCGCTTAAACCCTAATGTTAATAATTTAATGTTTTTAATTTATTTTACTAGATAAATTCATTCTTGAACCATTGGCTCGAGTTTCTTTAATTCTAAATGTTCTACTGACTTTTATATGCATGTTTGGTTTGATTGCTTCCTGTATGGTAAGTTTTGAATGTTGGTAATATTGCAAGTATCCTAAGTATCATAAATATCCCAAGTATCATAAATATCCTAAGTATCATAAATATCACAAGTATCGTAAATATCACAAGTATCATAAATATCACAAGTATCATAAGTATCATAATGTTTTAACTATCTATTCTTTCCCTGTTTAAATATATAGGAAACTGCACGGTCTTTGAAAATCTTTGCCGGACTTTTTATTCTTATTATAGCTCTTCATTTTATATATGCTATTTATTATGTTATTATTATTTATTCAAAATACCATATTGATGCTTTTTTATATGAGTCAATTATTAATTTTATTGGACCTGTTGTTGAAGTATGTTTATTTTATTAACATTTGATTTAAAGCAATTATTAACCGATTAATTTATTCAAATTTAATAGATTTATTTTGCCAAAGTTATTGTTGATTACGTTGAAATGGTCACAATTGCACAAGCTAATATTCCAACACCTGAAAGAGTTGAAACTCCTAATATACCAAGTAATTAAAATCAAGTAATTAATTAATAATCAAATCGTTAAAAATATGAAATGTATATATATTAAAATGTATTATAGCAGTGGCTAATTAATGCAAATAAAATTTATAAAATATAATTATTGAATAAGCATTCAAATATAACCTTAAGCTTTTAAAAATTGTCACGAAAACATGGGACAAAGTACGTACGTACGTATGATATGTTACACGAAAAGAAACGCTAAATTTTTTAAACCAGGATATGTAAATATTAACATAGGTATGGATTTAGACAAGCCCAAAAATATCATAGAATAGAAACTTGAAATAACGTAATTTAAATTTCGATCAAATTAAATTCAGTCGCAATCAAAATAACATCAATGTCAGCATATGGGCGGATTTTTTTGTGTTACTTTCAACAACGATCCAATTCTGGTCAAATTTGCAGATTATTTGGCCCTGGCTTATCAGTTTTAAAACTGATAAACCAGGGCCAAATAATCTGCAAATTTGACCAGAATTAGATCGTTGTTGAAAGTAACACAAAAAAATCCGCCCATATGGTTTGAGTTTTATAATAATCGGTAGGTTACAAATATAGATACTGGTGAAACTAAATAATGCTGGTGAAACTGATGACTATCTAAAATCTGCTTAGTTGTTATATTAAATTTCATCAGTTTTACCACTATTAACCAAGAATTTCACCAATCAATAGTTACAAAATGTGGGGGAAGCACATGTTTACAACAGAGATCAATTATTTCGTAATTACTTAAAATGCTCTTTCATATGCATATTTATGATACTTAAAATTAATTATAATAGATTCTATTATTTATATATTAGTAGATTAGATTTTTTTTTTTTTTTACTATAAATCATCTAAAGATATCAAAATTGTTACTCTTCAACGAAAATTCCAAAGTTCACAAGAGCAATACTTAGCTCTATAGTTCTGTATAATATCTACCAAGCTAAGTATTATTTTACAAAGTTTCAAAATATTCGTCGAGTAGTAGCATTTGTTAGAAAAATATAAAAATTTTAGTGTTGCATGATGTCTGGCGCAAGCAACAATGGACTGTGAAGTCACATGAACATGATTTTTGAAACTAGCATCGTGATTAATTCTGAGGCGTAGTATATTATAACGTCATATTATCGTTATTAGTGGCACTTTTTGATGTCTTTAGATGGTTCGCGCCATAGTATAAGTTATATATGTTAGTGTTATAATACAATTTTTCATTTTCATATTTAGCTCCTGGATAAGTAAGACTTCAGCCTTATGAAAAGCCGCCGTTTTATTACTAGTTCTGCATGTTTATATGTTTTTATTTTTTATATTAAAATTTGCTTCACGTATAATCTTGCACTCTTGTATTAAAGTAAGATTCTGTATTTGTAAAACTTTTACCAAGATTTTAATTTATTATTGAGTATATTCTTTAAAATTTAGCATCAACTTAATTCTAATACAGTATATAACTTATAGTACAGTATAGATAAATAGCTAAGTGATCGAGCAAATTCCTTCAGACTTTAAATTATCCAGTAATACTACATTCTTGCACAGTTTGAGATCTAAGAATCGAATTTCAAAATTTATGCTTCTTTGAATCTGATGCATAATATATACAAATAACATTTTTAGTGCAAAGCAATAAATGTATAAATGGAATTAATGCAGTGAAATTGAGTATGCAGTAATATGACTGGGTGTTCTAGTCTAAATGAGGATCCCGGACATATAGTACAGGGGTCATAATTTATGCGTTTCAGTAAAATCCCCCAAAATTTATAATTCAAAAAAATCGTTTTTTTTTTGCAATTATCTCGGGGTCCAATGGTCCAAATTGAATGAACCTTTTTTTTTAAGTAAAAGCTCTTAGTGAGACGCATATAACAAAATAAAAACTTCACTCAATTCTAATCACTGGATCCCGAGATACCGTAAACTGCCGTATAAAAGACCCGGGTCTAGTACATTTCACCAATTTTAAAACCTATTACTAGACTCATGGGTCTCTTATATGAGTACGGGTCTGATAATTTGGAGGGTTAATGATAGTCAAATTACTGAACATTAGTACACATGACCCTCGTTAATATCAACCTAAGCTACAAGACAAATTTTTATAAATTTTTATTTATCAAAAATCCCTCTTATATACTAATATCACTATCAACATGAATATAGGAATGATCCAAATGGGTTGATATTAACAAGGGTCAAGTGTACTTAATCCTATTTGTATACCCCGGGTATTTTACATTTTACCAAAACTTTATCCTATATTATAGACCCGGGTATAATACATAGGGGTCTGATGCGTGGGAGGTCTTTTATGCGGCAGTTTACGGTATTTAAAAAAATGTAAATTTTAATTTTCAGCAAATTCAGGTATTTTCGGCCAAAAGTGTCCTCTAAAAAATTATGACCTATATCAGAGATGTCCGGAGTCCTTCTAAATGTCAGAAATTTCGAAAATCAAACAACGGAATTATTATATGGAAGGTTAAATCTAAGTAAATATCTATACGTACCATTATAAAATAGGTCTGTTTTTATCACATTGAAACGAATTTTTATAAATCTTTTTCTTATTACGTCATATGTCTACGATCTTAACTTAGTGCTGTTCGTGCTAGATCACTGCATTTTGTGCATATTCTAATCGATCTCGATGTAGCATAAATTTACTAATACAGTTAGCTTCTTACGCTCAATATTTCAAACAAATATACGTAGTATAAAGCAGTTCTCTATATCGATAATCTTTTTTTTGAAATATGGATCAAAATTCTTTTTGCAATTATTGTAAAAAAAGATTGATTGGATTTACAAAAAGATTATGTAGATATAATTCAGTTTATAAACAACCACATTTATATTGTGGGAACATATATATTGATACATTTATACAAGAAACAACGTCCAAAAGAAACCATTGTGACGATTTTATTGGATGGGTACCATATTCAGATATTGAAATAACTGATCTAATCGCAGAAGGTGGTTTCTCAAAAGTATTTATTGGCAAATGGGAACCATTAAAACAAGATGATAAAAAGGAATTATCAAATATTGATATTGCCCTTAAAGTTTTGAAAGGATCTGAAAATTTTGACCTCAAATTCCTCAATGAAGTAATTATGAATATTTAATAATATATTATACATTATTGAATATGCAATAGTAAATTTTACTCATTTTTAAATCATAGTTCAAAATACACTACCAATGTCTTGGAAAGTGCGCTGTGCCGTTTTATGGTTTAACAATGTTTCCAAGAATGCAAGAATATGCTATGATAATGAAATATACAATTCATGGTGATCTTAAGAAATTTCTCACTAATAATAAACAGAAATTTCTCACTAATAATAATCTCTCATGGATAAAGAGAATCGAAATTCTTCAAAACATTGCAAAATCTTTAAATGAACTTCACAATTTAAATATTGTACATCGAGATTTTCATTGTGGAAATATCCTTGTTGACGACAATACAAGGATTTTTATTAGTGATTTTGGGCTTTCAATGTTTATTAACGAACTTGAACCTTCAGGTTCCGCAGATCTACTATCAGGTATTCATATTATAAGAAATAATGCCAACTAACTTTTGTATTAATTAAAATTACTCTTTATAGTGCCTATCAAAGGCGTTTTGCCTTATATTGCACCAGAAGTTCTCACTGGAAAACCATATACAAAAAAGTCTGACATCTATAGTTTAGGGATAATTATGTGGGAATTAACATCTCTTGACCGTCCATTCTCAGATCGAACACATGATGGATTTTTAGCAATAGAAATTATTCATAATCTTCGTCCAAAAATCGTAGAGGGGACCCCAGAAATTTATCAAGATATAATGAAACAGTGTTGGGATGATGATCCATTAAAAAGGCCAGATCTGTCGCAATTGATAAAGGATTATGAAAATATGATCAAGGATATGGAAGAGCAATCATCCATAGGTAATATGGAACCATTACTCCCGCCTGTTATTCAAATATCTATAAATAATTTAGGTAATTTTAATAGATTAATTTCGATAATTAACATAAAATCCCATTTTTTTTTTGCATTTGTTGTTACTCAAAGTCAATTATGACTTTAAGTATAATGGAAAGGGGAAAACCTGTAAATTGATTCACTTTCACTTTAGCAAGTTAGGCCCTGAATAATTTGATTAGTTCAACATTTAGTATTATTATTATTATTATTTTACTATCTACTAGATCATTTGATTTCTTCATGAAAAAAATGTGGTTCCACTTGATGACCAAAGCACTGAACATCTTATAACATTACACGTATTTGATCACACATTTAATCATTGCGGGATCAATTTTGCGAGGGCTGAATTCGATAAGGTGAATGATAGTCAATCAAATTACCGGGTTTCTCTTTCCATTATTATATTGTTATTAGTCAAATTTAAAATATTTTAATTTATTTTCTAAAAATCATCGCACAAATAGATTCTGGATCAAGAAATTTACCTTCATCGGAAATTGGTAATTATATAGTTACGTCTATAATCATACTAAAAAATAAGAATTTTTAATGAATTAAATATTACTTGATAGATTTTCAAACTAAACAATATGAATTAAATCCAATACAAGATGAAGAATTAAGTATAAACGATCAAGTATGAATGACTTTAATTAAAATCAAAATTTTGATTTCTTGCAGTATAGGTGACTTTATAATCAATTGATTAATACTAAAATACAGTATATTTTATTAAGGGGTCATCTATATTGCAAGAGATCCTGACATTTAGTGTCTTAATTTTTAACCAAATTTATCATCAAAGGAATTTAAAAGAACAGCTGAACTTGAAAAAAGTAATTATTCAGACATAACACACGTTAAACGTAAAGAACCTGTATTTATTCAAAAAGAAGATGACAGCATTGAATCTGACAATCTATCTAAAACTTCTTCTCGAGTAATATCATTTTCTAGAACAGTATCACCATCCAATACCCCAATTTCGTTATCTAGATCATCGTCTGAATATAAAACTGATATTCCAAAAATAGATGAGGGAAGTGATGAAGATCTTGAAAATATTGATCCCTCATTTAACAAGATGCGCGATTTATTAAGTTCATTGATACATGAAGCCACAGAAGCAGTAGAAGCTCCCGTTAAAGGGCGTGAGAAGAAGAAACGTGCGCCTTCAACTACAAGTCAACAATCATTTGACTTTGGGGACATTAATGATATGCTTGATGAATTAGAAGAAGATGATGAATACGAGTATGAAGATTCGGATGATGAGGAAGAAGAAGAACAAAATGAATCTTTAGATGAAGAAAATGAAGAGCCTCGAGGAAGAGGTTGTAAAAGAGAAAAGTCACATAAGCGACAAAAGAGTGTACACGAAGAAAGATTTGAACAAGGAATGTTGGAATTTAATAGGAGTATTGCAGATTTTTCCACACTTGTTGATGCAATAACAACAGAAGATAATATGCAAGAATATGATCCTTGTATACAATATGTGGATCCAACTGACCAACTCATACGATATCCTGACACACTCATACGATATCCTAACACACTTATACGATATCCTGACACACTTATACAAAATCCAAGCGAAAACCTTGTCGAATATTTTGCACAACTATATCGTCTTCTTATACGCACACTCATTCTTCCATTCTTACTTATACGTACTCTCATTATTCCATTCGTACTTATCATTTACTATTTCATAATCGAATTTTTTAAGACATCAAATTCATCAAGAAGCATGACAAATATTACAGTTATTCTTTCATATCTTAATATTGCCATTGAAACATCAATATCCGAGTTTGTCGAAACTACTTATGCAAGACCCACACGTTATCGTTATGGATCAGATGATGAAATATTTTCGCCTAAAAATACATATCTCAATTCAGAATTAATTGAACATGTGCATGATGAACATGGTAAATAATGTATCTTTACATAATTTTATCGTATCTATTTATTTACTTTTTTTGAAAGTTGGATATAAAAATATTGCACATTTGTTTTATAATTTAAATAGATAAAAGATATGTAACTCAAAAATACACCTTTAAACCTGAAGGTACGTAGTTTTACTTATTTTATTATTATTATTATTTTTTATTTGAGTGACTTTATATGTCGAGAATTTTCGTTGGGTGTAACGTGAAATAAAACAATTGCGACGCTTCAAAAACTGTTAATAAGTCAAAATTTTACATACGAAATCCTTGCAATGTGAAAAAAAAAACTTAAAAGGAATGGTTTTATCTAATTGGTTAAACAAAATACCGTAAACTGTCGTATAAAAGAGCTGGGTCTCTTACATTTCACCAATATTAAAACCTATATTAGACTCCGGGTCTAATACATGGTGGATAGTTTGTACTATTAGAGGGAAAAATTTAAAAGATATGCATATTGTTCATTTATGATGGGCAACCTAGACATTTAAAAAAACTATATTTGGTTATTGTAAATTTTGAGATTCACACCCGGATCTAGTACGTACGTACGTATGTACGTTGTGAAGCAGGAGGGACCGTCCCAAATAAGGAAACCCGTGTTACATAATGTTCCGACCTTGCATAATGTTCTTTAGCCAATG